ATAATGTGAGCTCTGGGAATGTAATAATGACCAATCTCTGTTTCCTAGGTGTTTACAATCTAGGTGCATATTGGTTTTCTATTGCTATCATGAATTTTTCGGCTGAAAACAATACTCATTTACTTTCCTGCAGTCCTATAAGTCAGACGTCTTGGTTGGGCTCGGCTAGTTCCACTTCTCCAGGTCGCACCAGACTAACATCGAGGTATCGTCCAGCCTGAGCTCTTCTTTGGAGGTGGTGGTGACAATCTGCTTCCAAACTCATTCAGGTTGTTGGCAGAATTAAGTGGCGTGTAGCTATAGTTGAGGTTCCTTTTTCCTTGCTGCCTGCCTTCCTTATCATTTTGCCCCCTCCATCTTCAAAGCCTGCAACAGCTGCTGGGGATGTCCTGCTTATATTTTGAATCTGACTTTCTCTTCTGCTGTGTTACTTCTGCCTCCAGATGGAGAAAGTTATCTATTTGTAAGGACTCATGTAATTAGATTTGGACTACCCAGGTAACCCAGGATAATCTCCCTATTTTAAGTTACATAACCTTAATCATATCTGCAAAGTCCCTTTTGCCAAATAAGGTATCATATTCATAGGTTCTCAGGTTTAGGACATGACATCTTTGGGACCCTTTCTACCCACCAAAGATGAAATCAGATGAGTACAGGAACATTTATAACACAGTATAATGGGCCCTCTTATATGGATAAATGCAGCATTCTATGGGGCACATAGCATATCTAACCTTGAAGGAGAATTGGAAAAACCTCTTTGTATTAACTATTGCTACATAACAAACTATCCCAAAACATAGTGACTAAAACAATGTATGCATATTATTTCATAGGTTCCTATAGATCAGAAGTTTCGGAGCAGTTAAGCTTGTGAGTCTAGTTCTCTCATGAGGTGACAATCAGAATGTCAGCTGGGACAGTCATCTGAAGGCTTGACTGGAGTTGAAATATCCTCTTTCCAGCTCACTCACAGGACTGTGGCAAGAGGACTCTGTTCCTTACTGGCCGTTGGCTGGAGGTGTCAGTTTTTCACCACGGGGGCCTCTCTAGACTGTTTGAATGTCCTTACCACATGGCAGAAAACCATAATATCTAGCATTTCCTGATCTCATCATCCCTTCCGCCTTATTCTGTTCATTAGAAGTGAGTCACTGAGAACGCTGACATTGAAGAGGAAGGGAATTAGGAGCCCTTGCACGACCAGTCCCTGAAGCATTAACCCCTAGGGATAACCCCTAGGCCTCTATCGGGTTTCAGCTTCAGACCCAGAAGGAACAGCAAAACCAGGCCAGCGACACCATTGCTGACATCAGGAAGGGCTGCATTGACTAATGACCGCTGCCCTAGTTCTGACCAATCAGTGGAAACCACGACCCTGAAAGGACACACTTGGAAAGCTGATGAATATTCTATTGGAACCCTCCCCTGGGACCTCCAGATAAATGCCCTCAAGAAGAGGCCCCAGTGCAGCTCCCTCTGTGGAGCATACCCACGCCTTTCCCTCCCCCTCCCCTCAGGTGCGAGGGTTTCCTTGCCTCTCTCTCTCTCCTGAACTCCAAGGGCCCTTCTTTTGCCTCTGTAACTTGTTCCCTGAGCCCATTTCTTCTATACTTCACTTCTACCTCTGTGACTTTCTAAATAAACTTTCTCATAGTTTGAGTCTTGGCTCTATTCTTTCTTAGCCAAAACTCAAGTACCAAGATTGCTGAACCGAGGTCAGGTCTGACCCCACTGGTCTAACACCTGGTGCCGTTTCACCACCGCCAACACAACCACAGTGAGATACCATTCTATACCCATCAGGGAAGCTAGATCAAAAAGCCAGATAACAACAAGTAGTGATGAGGATGTGCAGTGGTCAGAACCCTCACATACCACTGGTGGGAATGAAAAACGGTATAGCTGCTTTGGAAAACAGTGTAGCAAGTCCTTAAAAGATTTAACCTTTCTCAATGCTTATCCAAAATGTCCAAGGACACACAGTCCAGGCCGAATCAGTGTTGTCATCAAGCACCCAGGCTCCTTCTCTCTCTCTGCTCTCTCATTCTCAGCATGCAATTTCTATCTGCATGGTTGCAAAATGGCTCTGTTGCAAAAGGGCTCCTCTTTCCCCAGGAATCTAGGCCTTGTTCCAGAAGGGAAGATATAATGGTCAAAATTTTGCCCTTGAGGGTGGGAGGTAGGGATGGCTAGGGTGGGGGGGAAATAGGGACAACTGGATTTGAACAACAATAAAAGAAACAGAACAGAGTTGGAAAGAAAAGTAATTAAAAAACCTAAAAAATAAAAAAGCTTTCCCTGTGTGAGGCTTTGCCATTTTATTCAGAAGCAGTTTATTTCCAGAGACTTCCAATTTCTTTTGTTGGCTAGAATTCTGCCACATGGTCACCCCTAACGGCAGAAGATTCTGAGGAGCTGAGTATTTTAGTTGGGCATATTGCTGCTTCAAATAAAATTGTGCTTTTTGTTAGTGAGGAAGAAGGGAATGGGTAATGAGGGAGTATGAGGTGTACATGTCACAGCATACAAGCAGTTAAGGATCTAACATTCTGGTAGGGGCGGTGGGAGGGTTGACAGAAAAGGTGACCCCAGCTTGCTAAGTCCTCTCAGTGTGAAATAGACTGGTGTAGGAGCAGAGGGGAGTTCTTGGGCAAGACGCACTTACTAGAGCAGAAAACATACCTTGAAGACCATACCTGACAGGACTAGTGGAAGTCCTCCAGGCAGAGAAAAGATGGAAAGGCTTTCCATGCAGTATGATAAAAACATATATCAAAACTATCAGAGAGCATAGTAGAAATAGGGAACTAAGTGGAGCTTGGTACTGCCAGAGAAGAAAGTGTGAGGCTAGAAGACCCCAGACGGAGCTGGAGGGGAAGACACAAGAGGTACTCTGCATGCCCCTTTCTGCCTGAAAGCGGGGCATGCATTTACTCCCCTTAGTGCAGGTGGTCCTCCTGTCCCATACCAGAACAACGCTCACCGCAGGAGAGAGAAAGCCAGCACTGACTCGTATCTCAAGAACAAACCTTACTAAAAGAACCCTTACCTTCCACTCCTTTATCCCATATATTTGCCGTCTTATAATTTATTGCCCTTGGAAGACAACCCCCTTTCTCTGTTTTGGCACTTCTCCACAGTTTATCGCCCTTTGTTAAAATAGTAATATAAGCCTCAGGGCCTGTTTTCACTTTTTTCTTTTGTTCTTAAGTATAGTTTATTAATTATGCTATTACAGTGGTCCCAATTTTTTCTCCCCTTTATCCCCCTCTGCCCTGCATCTCCCCACCATCCAGCATTCCCCTTCCCCTTAGTTCATGTCCATGGGTTGCACATAAAAGTTCTTTGGCTTCTCCATTTCCTATACTGTTCTAAACTGCCCCCTGTCTACTACTTTGTATGTTGTGCCTACTATTTATGCTTCTTATTCTCTGTACCTTTTCCCCCCGTTTTCACTTTTTTCATGTTAAACCACCATATTCATGTAAAATAAACCTTTTCTCCTATAAATCTCTTTGGGTTTTTATTTGTTCTTTGCCAATTTAATTCACAGGCTTCAGCCACTGAATAGAGGGTAGAAGAGAAAAAGGTGTTTCTCGCCTACATAATCCACAGCCTAGAATCCTGGCAGTCTCCCCAGACTCTTCCCTGACTGTCCTGTCTTACACTCAGTTAGCCCTGGGCTCAACCTGGAGAAGCTTTTCCTGATCACTCCTTCACCTCAGTCTGGAAAGGTGCCTGACCTATGTACTTCCATAGCTTTTTGTAACTTTTTTATTACATTTTGGCACACTTCATTTTAATGGTTAATTTGTATATTTCCTCCCTCCACTAGTCTATGAGCTCCTAGAGGATAAAACTTCATTTTATTTACTTTTGCATTCTCAGGCCTGGTAGAGTACCTGGCATATAATAAAAACATATATGGAGAATTCACTGTATGTACCATGACACCAAGGGTCACTTAATCCTTACAATCACCTTACTTCTGAAGTATGAACAAATGTTTGCATTTTAGTAAGCTGAACAATGTAAATTTTCTCATGAACATCCTTCTGTTCAGTGTAGTTGATGATTTAAGTCATGAAAATGTTATTTTTCTCCTACCAGAAGCTCTAAAGATACCAGAATAGTTTCTGTAATGATTTAAAATGTTTTCTGCCCAGATATAACTTCTTGTGTCTTGAGGATCACCATTCTATGTCCACTGCAAACAGTGTGTGTAGGCAGGCAGGGCGGGGGTGGGGAGCATGGAGGCCATGACACTGCTCTGGTAGACACTGCTACAAAGCCAAATGTAATCGAGGGTGGAGCCTTCCATGAGTGGAAGGAGTGTCCATGACGGCCCTCTTTTCTCCGGAGTTCTCTCTGCTCTCTTCCTGTGGTACCTGAGGGGTAAAGCAGGCATCAAGGTTGCCTCCTTTGAGTGTGTTCCCCTTCTTCTCTCACTTTGGGAACTCCTCAGAGGACCAGGACAGAGCCTTGAGGGAGGAGACAGGGAATGAATAATTCATGTGGCACTGGGCTCAGAGAACTATCTCTACATCATGGACTGACTTTTCCCTAACTCTGTTGTTCAGAGTTCAGCATCTTGAGGAGCAGTAGCAGAGTGCAGACATAGAGGGTAAAGTGTGTAATTAGTTAGCGATCTTTGCTTTAAATATCACTCATTCCCTACATTCCCTCCAAACCTGTTTCCAAAACAAAGCCATTGAACTGAGGAAGAGCTTACACAAGGAGGGGTTTCCCATGTGCATGAGTGCTGGGGGATCATGCAGGAGAAGAGCAGAGAGAGAGAAGCCTGGCAGCCCCTTTTCTTGTTATCAGTCACCATTTGCTCTACCATCCCTTAATTAGGACTCTCTACTCTGACCCCTCCCTGAATCCTTAACAGGATATTCTTTGAGAAGCCTGAATCAAAAGGTTTGAGGAAAAAGCCAGAATATGAGAAATTTTGTTATCCACAGAAACGTTCACAGAGGCAGCTGCACAGATTTTCTTTTCAAGAAAAAACATTTATTGTTTTTAGTCTATTTCCAAAGCCCTAACTAAATAATACCTTCCCCTAGATTTAACTCCCAGGAAGACATCCTTATCTTCCCGTACCATCCTCTACCACCGTCTCCTCCCCGCAGAGCCTCCTAAGGGGCTAACCCACATCTCCTCCCCCAGCGATCTTTCCCACGGCATTCCTTCTTCCTGCGTGTGATAATCCCTAGCCTTCTCCCCCAACCCTTTATTTTGGCATCTAAGTGTCTTGTGAAGTAGTCAAAAGTAGCTGAGCTTCAGTCCTGTCCATCTGTTAGCCACTCACTAGATGGTTTAGAGAAATCAAGTCATTTGATCGAATGAGGTCAGCTTTTAAGAGGCAGAAGAATGCTGTCCAGAAGAATAACGTCGTAGAGGATTAATGTAGCCTCTCTCCAACATCTGTCCTTGGGCGGGGGCGGCGTGAAACAAAAACAAAAACGGAAGAGGATGTCATGATATTCAGAAAGTCTTCACAATTACAGAGGAGCTTTTTCCTACCTAAAAAATCTCACAAATGCATAATGAGATTATTAATGGTGTTACCTCAAGGGAGTAGAATCAAGTAATCTTCACTTCTGTCTTTTTGTTATACAAAAATACATAATGTAAAAACAATTAGGAAATTATTCATTTCCTAATTCATTAGGAAATTATTCATTTCCTAATTGTTTCATTCATTAATTTTCTATCAGGAAATACAACCATGTTGTTTTTAAAAATCGCATAGAACCCCTCATATATAAATGACACTTAACTTTTTCTGATGTGAACTATGAGAATTATTAGTCTCTCTTTAAGAGTTTAGGACAAAAAAGAAAAGCCCACTTTCTATCAAAAATAAGCTTCCAAAAGACAATAACAGTAACTCAGAAGAAGGTCCCCTAGCCCCAAAGCCCACCCTGCTCTCTTCTGGCCTTACCTCACTCACAGGGATCCGAATACTGAATCGTCGCCTGTTCCTCTGTGAAACGAAATGACATTCTATTACATTGCAGGCTTCACACATTCGAGAGAAAATACTTCATAAAAGCTACTGTTTTAACCTTTTTCAAAGGATCCCTACAGGTTACATTCAGAATTGCAGGAAGGTTCCAATCACTGATATTTGCACCCTTGTGGTAAATTATCAATCACAGCAAGAATATTAATAGCCCTCAGAGAACAATGGCTCACGTTTTTCTTTTGGTCTGTGGGCCACAGCCTATAAAATATCTGTAATGTAGAAGACTTTTTAAAATGGCATATAACTGAATTAAAGTATTGTAAGAGATTGGATAATGGAATTCTATGCTACTTGCCTTGGGAAGCAATATTTGTAAAATTAGGAGAGATATGTTAAAGAATCAGGCAGGACCATGCTGGGAGGTACCGGTCAAGCTCAGCCCTCACCTGGTGAGTAGTAATCATAGACCTTGATGGTTGCCGGTTTCAGGTTTGTGACTAACACGCTCTGGCTGATGGTGAAGGTGTAAGTCTGAGTCTTCTTGTTGAGCTATGGGGAAGATACACAACATCATATTAAAACTAAAGTGAAAATGGGCCCTGGCTGGCGTAGCTCAGTGGATTAAGCTCAGGCTGTGAACCAGAGTGTCGCAGGTTCAATTCCCAGTCAGGGTACATGCCTGGGTTGCAGGCCATGACCCCCAGCAACCGCACACTGATGTTTCTCTCTCTCTCTTTCTCCCTCCCTTCCCTCTCTAAAAATAAGTAAATAAAATCTTAAAAAAAAAAAAACAAAGTCAAAATAACACTCTATGTAATGTGGAGGCTAAAAGCCTCTGGTCTTCACACAGATTTTCTGAAACCCTTCGATCCGTCCCTTCTGCCCTATGCCAAGCTTAAAGGTACAGATTTGGGCTGACTTTCTGGCTCTTTCTTCTCAGCATCTTACAGCTTCCTGGCTCCTCTGTAACATGCTTCCCTACACCCATGGTCTACTTTAACCCACAGCTTCTCCACGAAATACATCGAAATAGCCAAAGAAACAGAGATATTTCTCCAATAGTTCTGTGCTACCTCCTGGACTTGGACAGGCCACTCTAGCATGCCATACTAAAATAAAAGTGCACGTGAAAGCATCATAACCTTACACAAATGTTTAACATCACGGTTTCAGGGTTGTTCAAAGGGAACTATACCAGATTCGCTTAAAATAAAATCCCCTGGCTCTCTGGGAGATAAGAAAACCACAGTTCAATGTGTGAGGTGGTGTGAGGGAAGGGGCTGGAAATGGACATTAGCAAAAATAGTAAATTTTCACTGGAGGTGCTCTTGTCTGTCAGTTACACAGCAAGGTTACTTCTGTTCCCTGTGTTGAATAAAATATGATAAAATAGATAAAATAGGTATTTGTAACAATTTTTAGAAGATTACTAGTCCTAGAGAACTTGTTTTGTTGACATGAAAGGTTACATGGAATGTCAAATATTAACAATGAAAACTTTTAAAAGATTTTAGTTATTTATTTTGAAAGAAAGGGGAGGGAGGGAGAAAGAGAGGGAGAGAAACATTGATTATCAATGTGTGAAAGAAACATCAATTGGTTGCCTCTTGATCACCCTCACTGGGGACCTGGTCTTGCAACCCAGGCATGTGCCCTCACAGGGAATTGAACCAGCAACCTGATGGTTCACAGGCTGGTGCTCAATCCACTGATCTACACCAGCCAGGGCACTCTGAATATGTTTACATGTCTTAGATTATTTAATTTTTTCAATAGCTGAGGTAAATAGCTATTTTTACCACTACCCACACTCATTTTACAATGGAGTAAACAGACATTCAACAACTTGCAGGCAGTGTGAGAACCAGGATGTCAACCCAGGCAGTCTGGCATCAAAGCCTCTGCTACTAACACCTATCCTACACTCTAGAGCTGTCATGCTGCAGGTGGCCACTGAGCACTTGAAAGGTGGCCAGTCAGAATGGAGATGTGTTGGAAGAGTGAAACTCAAACTGGATTTCAAAGATGTAGTAAGAAAAAATAAAGAAGAAAGATACTTAATTAACACTTGCTATATTAATTATATGGTGACATAAAAATATTTGGGGTCTATAAGGTTAAATAAAACATATTTACATTAAAATTAATGTTATGTTTCTCTTTACTTTTTAACCGGTGCCATTAGAAAGTTTCACATGGCGCAGATGGCTCACATTTTGTGTCTGTGCAGCGGTGCTGCCCTGAAGGACACGAGGCTATTCTGTGGTACACCAGCACGGAGGCAGAATTCATTCTGTGGCTGTGAACTCATTCTCTCGGGACCCTCATCCCTGCGCATGGCACACTAGTGAATACAGACTGGAAGGGAATTTGCAAAGCATAAACAATCAAGCTCTTTGGTCTGGTTCTTGAATACCTACCTCTTCCAAGTAAATGTTAAGTGTGTCAGCTCCAGACTCAACCTTCTTCACCAGTGGTTGCTGGAGAAGCTGAATAAGAAAAAAGGAAAAATGGAGACTGAGATCCAGAACCTTCCCTGTGCCCTAGGGGAGTCTCCCACAGCTCTGTCATGATGAAGGAAACAGCATGTACTGCGCAAAGGTAAGAAAAGGAACAAAGACTATTCCAGGTTCCATTTCATATATCTGGTGCACCTTTATAGTTCATTTAGATAACGCAATTATGAGTTGTGTATATATACTATGATGCCATCTTACCAGCTTCTTAATGATAACATTAGGTCCCCTGGGAGCTATTAAATGAAGAAGAGAGAAGTGACTTACTAACTGATCGGTGCCCTCCATGGGGCTGAACCCAGAAAGCATCTTCACTTCCACAATGGCCATGTTGGAAGAGCTGCGACTCCCCACATAACTAAGGGCAGAAAGAAGCAAGCCTATGTGAGCCTATGATTTTCCCTCTCAGCCTACCCTATCCCAGCACACACACAAACACACATGCACACACATCCCAATTCAGCTTCTATGATCCAGGTGCCCCCACCACAATCTCTGCTTTCCTCACCTGGTGTGGATCGTGAGAGTCAAGGATCGAGGTGAAGGTGGTTGGGCACATCTAGCTTTTCCCATTTCCACACTAAGACTAAAGGTCTCCACATTTTTAGGAGGGAGAATATTGTATCTCAGCACCGTCTAGTAGGAATAAATAAATTTGAGTTGAGAAGAACTTTAGAAATCGTATGGTTGAAACTACTTTCGTTATACATGAGGTACATAGAGAAAAGGTTCTACTCGAGGGGAAGATGCCCTCAGACTCTCCTTTCCAGCACACACTCATTCTCTTGGATCTCTCCTTACCTGCACATAGGCACAGCCCTGGCCTGTGGCCTCCAAGGTGTACACTCCAGGGACACTGGGCAGAGTCTCTTGCTGAAGTACCAACCGGTTGGCAGCCTGAACACTGAAAGAGTGCTGGAAATTCTCAGCTGATTTTACAGCCAGCTTGACTTCCTCAGATGGCATGTAGGCAGTGGTGGCATATTTGGCAAGAGCTTGGAGAGCAACTACAGTATCCTGAGGAACACGAGCAAGCATATGCTTACCATTTTGTGAGCCATTGCAGTTAACCTCAAACAACACTATAACCTACAGACCTGGTCGTGGTTTGCTAGCTTAGATGATACATCTTTTAAATATCTAAAAACCACATTTGTGAGGACTGGGGAAGCTGATATAGAAATCATAGTGTCTCACTTGTATAGAAAAATCTCCATCAAGTTATTATTGAACATCCATAGGTCAGTAGGCTAACCTTGTGCATTCATATCCGGCAACCAAACCTAGCTTCAAAATAGGCTACTGTTAAAAGCAAGTGGATATCTGTTCAGTATACATTTTACAGTTTTCTTATTTGAGGAGGAAACAGCAGCAACTGGATAGCCCTAGAAAATGCACAGTTTTCAAATTATTTAACTGTAATAATCTTTTATGGCACAGTTGGAAAGGGTATTAGGAAATCCTTCCTTGCCAGCCAAGGTTTCTTAGCCATTATGCCATGTGATGACCTTTTTTTCATCTGGGAATAAGACAGGTAACCTGTCAATAAGACCATGTAGCATCATGTACTTCAAACCTTTTCACTCTGAAAACATTTCATCTTTATTTATATAAATTGCAACTAGGGGAAAGAAAAAAAGAATGAGGTATTCAGCAAAACTGTCATATCTCACTCTGTGTTGAGAATTTCTATAGACTCAACACTTGGTAAAATATCTATTACTGAATAAAAGAACCCAGTTCTTCCTATCCCAAATGAAAAAGAAAAGTCATATTTAGACATTACACTATCACATAAAAATAAGAAGACATGTCACCACGTTGGGGAAGCTGTGAACAAGTTATACCTGTGCAGCTTGATAACTTTTTGTCTACCCTCTGTGAACTAGAGCCACGGAGGTCTTCACTGCTTGGACATGTGAAGCAATTCAAGGAATGGGACACAACATCAGCTCAGAAAACTGATGTGGGTGATGTGTAACTTCTGAGAATAGCCAAGGATTGTATTCAGAAACAAACCTGACATATATCTGTCACTGAGAGTTCTCCATGCTTAATCCACTGCTTTTTATAATTATATATTATAATTATTTAGGGCTCAACAAGAAGGAAATCTTTCCTGATATTTGGTCAAGAGTTTCCCTGAAATAAGGAAGCAAGGTCCCATATAATATTTTAAAGTTCCAGTTGAGTTATTACTATACTCCAGCTCATTGCACTTAACATCTTTACCAGACACTCTACCTATTAAAATCTTTCATTCTTCCAGGCCTAAATTACATGTTATACCCTTAATAGAACTGGCCCTAATTTCAACAAGAATATAACCTCTGTGTGTTTTCTTGTTTATTTCTGTATCCTTGGCAACTTGGACATGGTAGGTTTTAACATTCGCAGAACAAATGAATTAATGATGACTTTCTTTGTAATGAATTAATGATGACTTTCTTTGTTAGGGTAATGATCTCTGATCATTTTTATGTCATTATTTACATTTGTCATACCCTTTCCCCCCTACTGCCACCCCACTAATTCAATTTCTCCTTCACCCTAACCTAAGTAAATGAAATAATCTCCTGATCTCTTCAAATCCAGGATTTCCAACCTCTAAATCATCCTATTCATCAAGTGACAGATTGATCTTTCTGGAACAAATTAATAGCTCCTCAGTATTAGGCACAAACTTGAGTCTGATATGCAAGGCCCTTCATAATATGAACCTACCCTGCCTTTCCAACCTAAGTCCCACTATGCTTCACATAAACCAGTTTTCCCAACAGCTACTCTGTCCTTTTGCAAATGGGTGTCTCTACTCACGCCATTTTCACTTCATTTCAATAGTTGCCCACCAAAATTTTACATATTCTTTTAGATCTACCTCAAGTGCCATTCCCCTGTGAAGACTTTTATCCCTCAAGCAGATGTGAGCCTCCTCTCCTTTTTGTTTCTTTCTTTTTAATTTTCCTCTATCTTTTTTGTATTCAATATTTTGTCCCTTTTGTATCTTTCTTATATAACCACACCCTGCTTTGTAATAAATAGAACTTTTTCTAGCTTTCCTTTTAGATTGTAAACTTTTTAGACTATATCTCACTAGCTTTTTAATACCTGAAACAGTAGAAGGTATACCCACAAAAATCTTCCTTTTATGCTTAGACCCCATAATTAGCTTTCTAATTTGTTAATATATAAATTTGCCAATAATTGTATATGTCCTCTTTACATATAAAACATGACTCTCATGATGTTTCATACTCTGCAAAGGAAGAGCATTAAATGAACATAGTGCTACATATGTGCTCATATGACCCAGTTTATGACTGCTTTTATATATTTTTCACATGCTTTTTCTCCCTCTCTATAGAATTATAACTGCCCAGACCTGGAGGGCAAGAGCAGTAGTTTTTTCCTCCATCCCCACATGATAAGTGGCATTAGGAAAGCAGGCTCTTTACCTGAGTGGAAGAGAAGCCCCCGTATGCATTGCGTTGTTTGGCCAACCAAGCCACTATACCAGTGGCCTTGGCTAACTCCTTCTGAGTCAGACTAGCTTTGCTAAGCCAGGCCAACAATACATATGCCGTGAGTTCCACATCTACAGCCTCAAGCTTAGCCCAAGGGCTGTCATCTGATGACCGAGTAGGTTTCTGGCTCCAGTGAATGGACTCTCCTATGGAGAAGGAAGCATAGATAGGAAGGTCTTGAAAGGAAATGGTTTTCCCAAATTCACTTTGTGAATGTGTGTGTGTATTTACTCACACATAATTCCTTAAAATGAAGCTGGGAGCATCAATACATGCCTCCAGAAATTATAGGAAAACAGCCCTTTTTAATCTATACATTCTAATGCTAATGGAAATAGGTAGGTAGAAACTTCTTAAAACAATCTTATATGTTTGGGGAATGTTTTTCGCTAACAAAATTTTATTAATTTTAATATTTATTTTACTTAAAGGTTTAACATTTTAAGAAGAATAAATATGGTAGAGCATGCCTAAGAACTCTGAGAAACCATAGAAGAAATGTTAATGAGGGTGAGCAAATAGAAGATGAGACCAAACCAAAGCTCTATGGCCCTGGCCAGGTAGCTCAGCTGGTTAGAGCATCATCCTGCTACTCCAAGGTTGCAGGTTTGATCCCCAGTCAGGGCACATACAAGAATCAACCAATGGATGCATAAATCAGTGAAACAACAAACCAATGTTTGGGTCCCCCCCCTATCTTTTTTCTCTCTCTCTAAAATCTATTTTAAAAATTAAAAAAAAAACACCCTCAATGACAGCCAAGGGTCAAAGACAAAGAAGAACAAACAGAAGTGAGAAGAGTGAAAGCTAGAAGTCTAATTATATATGTTTATCGATAATATATAAATAACCCACAGGGGGCAATCTAATTGGAAGAACATAGCAGAAAACATGTGAGCCTGCAATGCAAGATAACAGATAAGAGATAATCACATTAAATCACACACCCTGGAACAGGTGTCACTGTCTGAAACACCCATGTCATGACCCCAAACCACCTGGGGTCCACATGAGAGGGCAACTTGGCAATGCCATTTGCACAAAGGAAAGCTGCAATTAAATTTTTTCCCAGAAGTATAATTTTAAATACACAGCTAGATAAATAAAATGCATTAATGTTTTATGTGTAAGATCTGCTAGAATAGCAACTATTATCTTACATACATCCAAAATTTTAAAGGCACCTTGAGAAATCTCTAAGTTTTAGTCTTACCCCATCAACTCCAATGATCTTACACCAAAGAGTTATTAAATACCTGCAAAAGGGCGATTCTACAACCCCAGGAAGCTTTCTGACTAGCTCCTACCATCCATTTTCCCTTCATGTTGGAAGTGTAACAGCGCCTTTGAGGACTTACATGGGCTTTCCCACAAAACTCTCAACAATCATTTTATGACAATGACTTTTACTAAAATGAACCTTAGAATTGAATATATGTGGGACTATGGAGACTAGGAAAAATGATAGATAATTCACAGCATATTTTCACAGTTTCCAAAAGCTCATAACGTGACCACATACCTGAGATGATAGCCTGCCGATCTAACTGCTCCAGAAGGATGTTTCTGATGTCCATCTCCCCAGCCAGAGAGAACGTGTAAGCTAGCAGGGCCTGTGTGTAGAGGCTGGTGGTGGAGGAAGCAGAATTCTTGAGACACTGCAGACCCCGACTCACCATTGGGTCCTAAAAAATGAAAGAGAAGAACTGAATTTACGAGGCACTTCTTATAAAATGGGAAGTGATAAGGAAATCATCATATCTCCTTTGAGTTCCAAAGGCTGACTAGGGACAAAACTAGGTAAATTTCTCTAGAAATAGGCAAGATAAGATGACCATAGAGAAGAGGAGCCAGAGAAACTCACATCTATGGTCTTTTTCATCTCCAGCAAGGCAGCCGTGATGTAGGCGGTCAAGGAGATCTCATCGTCAACACCACCCTGGAGGGAAACAGGGAGGCAGTAAGTCAGGGAAGCAGCCAGTCTAGGCGAGAATTGTGTGCAAATGACAAAATAGTCTCCCTCCCCCCAATGGATGGATTATTTAACACACACACACACACACACACCCAAGCCTTCAGGACACACAAGGAGGGGGAACTGGCTGGATTTCAACAACAGCACAACCTTAAACAGCAGCCTAAGAGAGGTAACAGGAGGTCATCAGCTCCCTAGGAGAAGGGGTTAGAAAACATGACAGGTTAAAAACAAAGGCGGTGGGAGGGGGGATAAAGAGACTCTTTTTCTCAGATCCTTACAAAATCTGAGCCTCCTCAAATGGATGTCCCCTCATGCAGCACAAAGCCCACCTCCTCCTCTGGGGAGATTAAGTGACACTTTCCCTGTTTAATATCTTTCACGAAAAGATTTAGCAAGTTTTTAAAAATATTTCATCTAAATTATTATCCCCGCCCTGGCTGGCGTAGCTCAGTGGATTGAGCTCGGGCTGCGAACCAAAGCATCACAGGTTCGATTCCTAGTCAGGGCACATGCCTGGGTTGCAGGCCACGGCCCCCAGCAACCACACACTGATGTTTCTCTCTCCCTCTCATTCTCCCTCCCTTCCCTCTCTAAAAATAAATAAATAAGATCTTTAAAAAAAATAAAAATAAATAAATTATTATCCTCATTGTGTAAATAAAAGGAAAAAAACACATAAAAGGGTTAAGTAGCTTGTTGAAGATTACACAGTTAATCATCAGGACTGGGATTTGAACCCAGGGAGTTTAACTCTGGAGCTCCTGTGCAGACCACTAAGATTGACCACACATGTGACAGTCGATAGACTAGCCGGCTCTAATCAGAGAAGGGGAGAAAATCCCCTGGGGCCTTGTTCCGGTCAGGTCCTGGCTTGTACTACTCCCGGTATATTTGACACAGTGTAAGAGAAGAAAGCTGCTTGGTAGGGGGAGGAGCACTGATCAGATGCTGCGTAAGGAGTACTAACAAATCTTACACTGAGTTTTCTTTTCTTCAGTGCTCTAGACTTTTATTCCAGGTCCTGCAATACCTAGAATACCACTCTACATAAGTTCTCTAGGAAAGTTCATACAAATCTTCCTTTCACTGGTATGTTCTGCACTGAACAAGCTGTCCTGCAGCATCAGCACCTCGCGCTGTGTTTGGGAGGGGACAGGCAAGGCAGGGAGTGGGTGAGCGCAGTGTCTCTGGAGTCCAGTTGCTATTGTTCATATTAGTCCTACGAGTCATTAGCATTCACTTGGAGCAAGTCACTTAATCTCTGAACCTTAGTTTCTTCATCTGTAAAATGTGATTAAGAGTGGTATGTCACCTGGCTGGTGTAGCTCAGTGGATTGAGCGTGGGCTGCGAACCAAAGCATCACAGGTTCGATTCCCAGTCAGGGCACATGCCTGGGTTGCAGGCCATGGCCCCCAGCAACCACACATTGATGTTTCTCTCTCTCTCTCTTTCTCCCTCCCTTCCCTCTCTAAAAATAAATAAATAAAATCTTTTAAAAAAAAGAGTGGTATATCAGTACCAAGCTCAGTGATTTGTTGTAAATATTAAATGATATCAAATAAACAAAGTACTTAGAACAATGTCCGGCAGAGAGTAAAACCCTTTCACAAAAGACACTGGGCTGCCTGTTAGTCCCCACCAAAGCAAATGGCTTTGCCTCAGATTTAGAGACAGTAAAAGGCTCAGAAATATTCTAGTCCAGTGGTTATCAAGCATTAGCAAGTATCAAAATAGTTATGGGGATGTAAAGTGAAGCTTAGGGAATGTAGTCAACAATAGTGTAATAACTACACATGGTATCAGGTAGGTACAAGACTTATTAAGAGGATCACTTATATAAATGTCTAAACACTATAGTATATACCTGATATTAATATAATATTGACTATCAACTGTAATGAAAAATAAAAAAATTTAGAATGAAAACAGAAATAATCAAACCTAAAAAAGAAAACTGTAGCAAGTATAAGAATCATGAGGGTTTATTAAAACACAAATTTTGGTCCACACCCCCAGAGTTTCTCAGAGTAGGTCTGGGGCAGGGGCTAGAATTTGTATTTTAAGCAAGTTCTTAGATGACGCTGATGCTATGGGTCTGGGATCATGCTTTGAGAACCAAGTTCTAGAACATGTTCTCATTTTACAGACATGGAAACTGAGGCTCAGAATGGTTAAGTATATTGACCAAGTCACCCAGAGACTACGCCGCCGAGTGAACAACACCAGCTCCCAGGCCAGTTCTCGTCTGACTCTGCTCCCCCAGACACAGTGGTGGGCAGCCAGCCCCCAGGCAGAGCCACACCTTCATAGCCGTGTGAAGGAGCTTTCCCACATTAGCGTAGCAGCCGCTCGGGAGCTGGTTTCCTGCCATCCACTTGAGCGCATCCTGGATGTTCTTGTCATCAATGAAAATGAATTCCTGAGCTTGGCCAAAGCATTTGGTGACAAAGGCTGTCAGCCTATATGGGTAAAGAGGGAAACATTGCATGAAGGGGGATTTGTAGGTGAGGGTACGATAGTTCTATAATTTATTCTGATGTATGGTACCAGAAGGGAAGTTGAGGAAATATAATGCCCTAGAAGGCCTGGAAAAGGGAGGCATTTATAGGCATGAATGGGAACAAGAACTGGGGAGGCAAAAGGTCAAAGAGAAAGAAAACCATTATGTGGCTTCAGTAAGCAGAATGAAAGAGGTGGAGGAGAGAGTGCAAGAAGGAATGGGCTTAAAGGGACAGGCAGAGGAATAGTTCCACTCAGGGATTATGCTCCAGGGTACAGAACGCATTGAGCATTGGGCAACATTACCATGTGTTTCCATTTCCATCCTTCTCCCCAAAGGCACTGTATGAGCCATTGCTGTGTTTGTACATTAGCTCCTTCTGGTAGCCTGGGAAGCCAGAGGTGGTTTTAGATCACAGTGACAACTTCAAAAAACACTCCCATGGCTTTCAAGGGTGTGGGACATTTCAGGGACTGAACCTCTCAGTATCTTATCAAGCTATCATAGGCCCTCGAGGAGGTATCCAAGAAGGAAGATTGAACCAACTCACCTTGCTCCAGGAAACCCACTGCTCGGGACCTGACTTCCTTGGTCAGCAGTGCTGACTTCTCCAGGTACTGCAAGACATAGATGATGGGGGCAAAAAGCACCATGTTCTGCTCCCCACAGCCACTTGGCATCTGCACCAAATTGTCTAGGTTCTGCAGGGCTGTGCCCATAATGTCTCCTGGGATCAAAAAAAAAAAAAAGGAGAAAGAAGGTGGTGGTAAAAGAAGGAATCCTTAGGAGTTGTTATCATTAGCTTAACATGTATTAGCTATCTTTCAGTGGGTATCTACTCTGTGGCCTGAGAGACCACAGTAAGTCAAACACAGTCTCTACCTCTAAGAGCTCATAGTCAGAGGGGCAGACAATTACAATACATTATAATTATAATTCATTATAAACAAAATGATATAGTACTACCATATTGGGAATGTACAAGATGCTGCAGTATACAGAAAGGTACGTCGTAGGCCACCTGAGAGAGTTTAGGGCTTTTAAAAACCATGTCACTGGAGATGATGAGTGATGTAACAAAACCTGCAATACTTAGACTCAATCTCTAAGTTCCCCCACTGCATATAAGTATGACCCTCCAAGTCACTAAGTCCCTCCCAAGCACACACAATCTGATACCACTTTTTAAGTTATAGTTACTGACCCCTCCATATAATTCACAAGCCAGAAAACCTGAACTAAATGATTCATAACACCCGTATTTCATCCATGGAGTTCTATTCAAATGTATAAAATATGTACTGAGTATCAACCACATTTCAGGAACTTTGGTAGGAACAGAAATAAAAAAGACATGGCCCTTGTCCTCAAGGAGTTCACAATGCACTGTAGGAGCCAGACAGTGAGCTGGAGTACAGTTATAGTATTGTAAGTGCCATCCCAGAGCTATGAATCAAATATAGTCAAAATGGACACATTTTAACCTGGAAGAGATTTGGAAAGGGAGTAGGAGTAAAGAAAGAACCTAATATGTTTAGGGCTTCTGCTATAAGCTAGATATTGTGCTGGGGACTTCATATCAACCTTTACACCAATCCCTAGAGCCAGATTACTATCACAGCCTTACAAAAGAGAAAGAAGGATCAGGCTTGTCCATTAACTTATTCAAGGTCACACGGCTGGTAGAGGGTAACTCTGGGATTCTAACTCAGGTTAATGTGATTTTCAAGCTCCTGCTTTTCCATTCATTCCCTCTCCCTGCCCAAAGGAGTGAAGCGCCCTGCCTATGTAATTACGGTCAAATCTTCCCCAAACCATACTCAAATAGATAAATTCCTCATTTTTTAAATGGCTGCTGTAAACGTTTTGTCTCCCTCCCACCCAACTGATAGACAACATAAACCTAAATACATATCAAGCTTCAGTGACCTTCAGTGTCCTCCTGCCCAGACCCCTTTCTGTTTTCAATGAAAGCCGAAGTTTGTCTAATCCCAGCTGTACTATTATGTACTGGCTGTACCACCCACTATATAAAACAGGCTCTTTTCCCTCCGTCACTTCTAATCCACCACACCTTCCTTCAGACAGGTTCACGTGCCCACCCCACTCCACACCGTGGCAGCCTCCGGCTCCATTTTGCCTTTTTGAGCCAAGGTTCTTTAACTGCTTACCCAAAACAGTAACGTAAGCCTTGACTGAATCAGGAACAACATCTTCAGGGAGTTCCAGGGAAATGGATTCTGTGGCTACTTTTCCTGTCAGAGGCAGTGAAAAAAGTGAAACAATAAAAGACAGAAGGTGGAAATAGTGGGGTTCTCAAGCCCAAACCATAGGAAAACTTTTCATAACCCAGGGTTTTCTGGGCCCAGTGCTTCCTGTGGGATGGAGGCAGATTTTTTAACCTATTCATAATAATCTTTGCTGAAAATATATTCCAAAGAGAGCCATGATTGTGTTGTACATTTTCTCTTTATCCGGTCTCCCAGCTAATTGGCCCCTTCTGGGATGGCACCCCTGGGTGCTCCCATAACTTCTTGTCCTGTATATTCCTCCTTTTGCTTAAGAATATATCCTGCTGCCTAGGGAATTCTCCCCACCAACCCTCTCTGAGTTCTCCTACCTTTGGGGCACAGCAATGAGCTGTGGGTCTTCTCCACAAGGACACCCTCGGGCTGACATAAAGAGAGACAATGATGGGTAAAGACAATGAAGATGAATCTCAGGGCAGGTGGCACTGAAGGCATAGGCAGGGGAAGGAAAATGGGGAGAAGAAGCCCCTCCCGGCTTCTCTCAGAGCTAGAGAGAGCAGAGCATCTCTTTGAGACTCAGGAGGATTCCATTCCAACCCAGGGATGAGCCTCTCACTAAAATTCTTTCTGGGCAATGGCAAGAACTAAGGACAAGCTTGGGAAACTTCCAAGAAGCAGGATGACAACAGGGTTTATAATGGGACAAAAAAGCAGCTAATGATGACTTTAGGGATTTTAATAAGAGAAACTGACATTCATTGAGTGTCTATGAAGCACCAGACACCAACAAAGTATATTAGGCATTTTCGTAGACCATTGAGATGGGTTAAGTAAATCATTCCAGTTAGAAAGGGGCCAGGGAAGAAGAAAGGTGAGCTACCAAATTGGAGCTGGAATAAGGCTGCTGTGAGAGGCTAATTGATATGTTAGACACACATGGAACATCCCTGTCTATACCTCTGAAGCCAGGCCTGCCAAAAAAACTCACCTTGACCAGAACTGGTTTGATGAGTGTGTCACTCCGGCCCTTTTCTGGAACAAACCCTTTCTGGCCCCTACAGAGTTCGTTGCTGTCCAGAATCTTAGTAGTGATAGTAAAGTTTACATGACCTGAGAAGAGAGAAGGATAAAGAAAGGTATTGCCAGAGGTACCAGTGAGGTCTCTTCCCCGCTGGACCAGTGCTTCTTAATTTCTTTAATTTTTTAAACTTTTGGGTTTCTTTTATTTTTATTGATTTAAGAGAGAGAATTATTGATTTGTTGTTCCACTTATGGATGCATTCATTGGTTGATTCTCGTATGTGCCCTGACTGGGGATCAAACCCAGAACATTAGCATATCGGGCCAACTGAGCTACCTGGCCAGGGCCAGTGCTTCTTAAACTTAGTGGCATACACATCACCTGGGGATCTTGTAATAGTACAAGCTTTGGTTCAGGCGATCTGGGGTAGGGGCCTCTATTCTACATTTCTAACAAGCTTCCAGTTGATGCGAATGATACTGGTTCAGTGTGCAGGAGCAGAGACTGTGGAATGAGCTTAGACACGGATCCTCTCCTACTCAAGATCTTCAGATGAGAATATAGCTTGACTGGCACTTCATGAGACACCTTGAGCCAAAGGCACCCGGCTAAGCTGCACCCAGATTACTGATGACAGAAACTGTGTGATCATATTTGTTCTTTCAAGCCACTATACTGGAGGGTGATTTGTTAAGCAGCAGTAGATAACTCTTACATTGAAAGACTGTACTTTGAGTTGCATGGATTTAATCCATGAGCAAATGATACCTCCTAGAGTTAGTATGGTGATGAGATGACTTAATACATGTACAGCAGTTCAAATAGTGCCTGGCCCAGATGAGGAACATGGCCACATAGCCCTTCTTCTCCTGGCATAAATATTACAAAGCTCCCCCTTTCACACTCAAAGTAGTACAGTGTGTATAATTGTTTAGGTTATCTACCAGAGAGTATTTGCTTATTTATTTGCAACAGAGACTTAGGGAGGGAAAAAATAGAGGCTAATAAAAAGAAAAGGAAAGAGGAAACAAAGCAAATGCAGTGGAGGAAAGGATGGAGTTCTCAAACTCAGAGCTTTCACTCTGTGCTTTCCTTCTCTTACCCAGTTTGATAGCTGTGATATTCCAGTGATAAGTTTTTGCTTCATCAGCACAAAGACAGCTGGAGGCCTGAGAATCTGCCCATGATTCCACCTGGTATTCCTCTGAGTTAGCCAGGTTCGTCTGAACCTGAAGAGAATGTTTAAGCAATAAAGGATGTAAGTAAAGGAGACAAAACTCACAGGCTTAGGAAAACATGGGGCCAAGACACCAACACAGCATCTCTTTCCCAGGGAAGGGGAACAGTACGCTTCCAACGTAGGGAAAACTCACTGTGGAGGCTCTGGTTTTAAGGATGGCACCTGTTTCCTGTACCCCCAGTTCTTACCCTGATGCAATCCTTTAGATAATTGAAGATAGTGGCAGTAAGACGAAAGGATTCCCCACGAACTACTGAGTAAGGGAGAGTCAAATCCACAAAAAATGGCTTGAATGCAGTTAGGCCAACAGTGGGTGAAAGACCAAAGCCACTGGACTGAGAGGTGCAAAAAGTCACGGCCTTCCACGTGGTGATGCTGTCAGGAACAGTGACGTGCATGGCCTCCTTCCCCGAGTTACTGTGAGAACACAAGGACCCAGGTAAGGCAGACAGCAAGCGAAGGAGAACATTTGAAAATTAACCTAAAAGTCACCTGCAGAAGTACATTTTTGTTGCCGCTGTGCCTGCGTGGAAAAGAAGAGGCAACTGAATTGGAGGACCATGTGAATCCAGAGTGTGAATCTCCAGGTGAGTGAAGACGTACAAATATGAGATAAGGGAGGTGCCTGAGTATGTTGGAGGGGGTAAGTGAGGGTGGGCATGTGTGTCCAAACATATCTGAAAGAGAGACCAGCACCTTCTGAGTTGATGAAGATATGCATTCTTATGGCTTGTCAAAATGAGCAGGTAAGCAGTGACCAAGACCTAAACTAATGTCAATATGTCCCTTTAAGGTGTTGTGGATCTGAAATGAGGATGCACTATCTGTTCTATGTAAATGTGAATATGTGTGAATATGTTTTGAGTGATTGTATATAGTTGTATAAGAATTCAGGAAAGAGACATGTTCCCTTATCCCCATTAAGCTTTCTTGGCCTGAGACTTAGATTCACTTAGAAATTGTCTGATCCTGAGTTTTCTGCAGACTCCACACAGTGTGATCTTGCTATACCATCAAGGTATCACTTACCCAATAGGAAGCAGATCCCAGAGCCAAGTCTCTGGGAAGTACTGGCGGACCTGAGAATCCTCTGAGGACACTGATGAAGGCGAGGACCCAAAAGCCAGTGGACGAACAGCACCACTGCCTACGGGGACTAAAGAATAAGGAAATGTTAGAAAACAGAAGACTTCCATTGTGAAATAAACTGAGGTGAAGGGACTACTAATCACAAGGCCAGTGACAGACAAGGACATTTGGCCAGGGAATGAATAGATAAGACCTTCAGACTTCAGAAGCCTTCCCCAGGTAGAGAGATCCTTGGGAAACTGCCTGCATCTATGACCTACAACCTATCGTCATTCTGAGGCTAGAGGCTCAGGACAAGAACCAGAGGCGAAGAGGGAGCTTTCAGAGTTCCGTGATTCTAAATAGCTCAGTGACTCCACAAGCTGCAGAGGTAGCTTACCTTCACGGTGTTCACTGCTGTCTATTAGAGACTGGTGACTACAATCTACTGGCTTCTTGATTTTGGCATTGGACAGTATTTTCAGTCCCATGTCCTAATAGGTATGAAACAGAGCAGAGAATAAAATGTTAAGTCCCTTCCCTTAGACTAAGGGCTACTGCCTAGGAATTGCACTCTCAAAGGGTTCAACCAAGACATTCTTTTCTTATTAATGTTGACACTGGTGATTATTACCCAATACTCAGGCACCAAGATTGGTTCACTCCTGTTCCAGCTGGAGTGAAAGGCTTTCAATTAAACCTCCTTCACAGTTAAATATGTTTCATGCTCTTTTCAAACATCAGTCAAAAATATTATTATTTGATTTAGACTCTGAACTTTCAGAGACCAAGGGCCATGTTAGTTAGCTCAATCAATTCAACAAAAATACAGTGAGCATTATGAAGATTCAGGCATTAGAGAGAATACAAAGATAAACATGACATAGTTCCTGTCAGAGGCCTCTTGGTCAGACTTGGGCCACAGTATCCCAACCTCTGTTCATAAAATAGGTGCAATATTTCTTTTTATAATAATGAAGAGACTGCTGATCTAGCTTTCCTTATTCTCCTTCTTGACTAATCAACCAATATTTGGGGACCCCTGAGAGAGGAAGACTAGGTGTTCAGCCTCTCGCAGTGGTTATCTTTCAATAAGATTGGGCAACTTCTTCCAGCATAAGAACTAAAAGAGGCTACCTTACATATCAGGAGTTTCAGGATTTTAGCTGTCAGTACCCACAGGACTCTCTGTTTCTTCAGATACAGACTTTGCTTTCCTCCTCCTACTACCATTGTTCCTATAAGAACAAAATGGGTAAGAACACCTACCTGGAAGAAACTGAAAAGGTCCCTGCCTTTAGAGAACCAGGGCCTCCACATAACTGAACGCTTGCTCCAGCGCTCTTCAGTCACTTGAAGAACGTGGGGTTGAGGAAGGTCCCTAGGGTCAGACACTGGACACTCATCATATTCAGCCACCTGATAGGGGTAGTGACCATACCAGAATGGGAACATCCCATAGACCTGAGATAAAAGAGGAAAAAGAAATAAAGTATTGACACAGTGAAACCAGATGAAAAACTTCTCTCAAATTCGGGTGCCATAGCTCACCACTCCTATATTATTTCTCTTCCTTACTTCACAATTCTTTCTATATTTATTTTATCATAACTCCTTCCTTTTTAAATTTTAACCTTTATCTCACCTTTTTTTTTCATAATTTGCCACCCTTATCTCTTACTTCATCTTTTTACCTTATCTCTATGTCCCTATTAACCATGCCCTTCTCCTACCATCATTTCTACCTTTATTTTCACAACTGCTTTTCTACCACCTTGTGGTGCACTATTTTCCTAAGACTTTCTTTCCCACTCCCTGAAATATATCCCTTATTCTAATACAGCAGAATTGTCTTCTCTGCTAACTCCCTCTTCCCACCCTATTAGCAGACTACCCACAGAGCGGTTGCTCAGCTCTGTCTCTGGCCTCAGGAGCGAGACACTCTCATCCACGGCCCGGACTGCACACAGGGACCCAGGAGCTGCCTGCAGATGTAGGTCCACATTTGCTCCTGGAAGCTGCTGGGAAGGTGAGAAGCCAAGGGAAACCTGGAGAAAAAATATATATATAACTTGGGAATCACATCAGCTTACAGAGGAGGAAGAAAAAAATATAATTTGGATCATCAGTCAATATGCCCCAACTATGGTATCTCAGCTTACTCTGTCACTCTTATACTGATTTTCCTTTGTAAAGTCTAGCCCTTAAATACCAGTGTCTTATGACAGAGTTGAGAAAAGTGAGCAGCACATAAGAATGATATAAAATGTTTAAACGATAGAGTAGAAAAGATGAAAGCATATGGAATATCTATATTTGGAATAGCTATATATGGGATTTCCCAGCATGAGTTTTTATTTTTTAATTATTTTTTAAAGATTTTATTTAGCCCTGGCTGGTGTGGCTCAGTGGATTGAATGCCAGCCTGCAAACCAAAAGGTCGCCAGTTTGATGCCCAGTCAGGGCACATGCATGGGTTGCAGACCAGGTCCCCAGCAGGGGGCACACAAGAGGCAACCACACATTGATGTTCCTCTCCCTCCCTTCCCCTTGCTCTAAAAATAAATAAATAAAATATATTTTAAAGACTTTATTTATTTATTTTTTTTGAGAGAGAGGAGAAGGGAGGGAGAAAGAAAGGGAGGAAAAATCAATTGGCTGCCTCTCATAAGCACCCCAACCAGGAACTGAACCTGCATCCCAGGCATGTGCCCTGACTGGGAATCAAACCAGTGACCCTTCCCTTTGCAGGATGAGGCCCAACCGAGTCACACTGGTCAGGGCTCCAGCATGGCTTTTTAAAAAGAAGCAGGAGAGAGATAGAGTTCAACAAAACATACTAGAGGCACTATAAATACAATATCACACCCAACTTCAATGTTATCTTCTTATTTCCCTGCTCTTGCCTTATCTTCGACTCCAGTATACATAAGGCCTTTCTCTACTCCCAGACCTTTTATTCGCCCTCCTCAACTGCCACTTTACCTGATTGTCAAAGCACATCTCTACTGAGAAATGAGCTTTGTCAGCTATAACACCTCCATTGGGAAAAATGGCATAGATCACGAGGGAAGGATCAGGGGCTAGTCTGGAGTTGAATGTCAGTGAGAGAGAGAAGGAGCCTTTCAGTCCTGAAAAAGAAGCGAGGATACACAGGGATGAGAGTGCACTCACATACCCAGGCCATCCAACTGTATGTTTGCACTTCTCTTTGGGCGAGCAGCACACCTCATGGTGCAAGCAACTTCTTGTGTTCCTGTTCTTCAATGGTTATTGTTACTGTTCTGTTCCCACACTTCTATGCAAAAGAACTGCTGCCTAGAAGTTTAAAATACTCTTCTCTCTTCCAAGAGAAGCATGAACACTCACCATTCTTTTTAGAGTTCAGGTGTTTCTGCCCCTCCATCTCCAAACTTCCTTTCCCTATTAACTAGGAAAGAGAAAAAAAATATCAACAGCATAGATGTTATAGAGATTAACCTTGAGCTTACTTCTGGAGTATCCCTGAATCTCTCTATAGGGAGAATCTCCTTTCCTAGTTGAAGCCTGACTCAATACTTCACAGAGCATCCCTGAGCCTGTCAAATGTCGGACACTGCCAGCAGTCCTGATTTCTCTTCCTCCGGTGGAAGGGCTGCCTGAGAATCAGGAGGGTTGGTGGAAGGAGACAAAAATCACCATTGCTTTGAAGCCAAATAGACAGCCTTCACAGTAGACAGTTGTCTGCAATTTCTTAAAGATCTTCAGGTTTTATTTTCTTATAGTCTTTGTAACATAAATTCAGCTAAAATCCATCCTCACAAACTTTTAAAAGAATTATCACTCCATTCAAAATTCCATGAAAGTGAGTGCAGCGCAAACTGCTTTGAGCAACTCTGACATTTGACTGTCTGGAAGAGAAACCTTTTCTAACTCTCCCTGTTCACACCCACCTGAAACTGAATTCAGTGACATTGTTCCTGAGAAGGCTGTCACCTCTGGTGCCAGTCTAGGGCTCTATGGCTGGTTCCTCAGACTATGGTCTGACACTCAGCCCTTCCACACTGAGCAACCCTCACTCCACTTTTCTCCTAGGTTTCCCCACACTTCTGTCCTGACAGCAGTGCCTGCATTATCGTTTTGACTTGCTATTCCCCACCTGCCCCTCCTTATTTTGTTCTGTCAGGATGACTGTTTTAGCTTGATGAAAGCACAGGGATGACAGAAGACACAGGGATGACTCAGCGGGGAGAAAGTCTCTCAGAGACTTTGAGAGGGTGATAAGGGAATGAGGAGACTCTGGACCATCAAACCCGAGCGTTGCTGGAGTTTAATTCTCACTATCACCGAGGTGACCAATAAAGCTGCTTACCTTTGTACATGCCTTTTAGGCTACAAGTTGTGATTTTAGTTCTCCAACAAAGCTCCTATGGATGTTAATTTTAACCCAATATCATCTACTTTAAATTACTGACTAATATAACTCAGAATAAAATTTGAATCCTATCCTCTTTTCACCTTCCCTCCGACCCACCCACCCAGTTCCCTTTCAGCCCTGGCCAGCAGCATTTTCTTGCTGATTCCTCATCTTCTTTCCCCACACAGTTTCCCTGGGATCTTGCTCCAAATCTCTTTATTCTGCATTTTCCCTATTCCTTTACACCTATTGTACATTGATCATATGTTGGATATATTGAATTCAAATAAAATATATTTTAAAAATTAGTTTCACCTATTCTTTTAACTTCTTTTAATGTGACTCCTAAAATCTTTGAAATTATCTATGTGGCTTGCAGTGTCTGTATCTGGACAGCCTATCCACCCTCTCCAGTTCACTCCCCGCCATTCTCTTTCCTCCCAACACATTTTCACCAACCCTCGTTCCCCAGTCTCACATAGTAGGAGAAGGTGATTTCCCAGTCAGGGTTTGCATCAGCTGGATCAATGTGATACTCCACCAGCACTTCCTGGGGCTGCCCACATTGCAAGATGCCACTTAACCGGTGGATTCTGAGAAAGCTGCGAGTTACGTTGTAGAAGGGTTGCAGGTACAGGTAGGCATTTTGGTAGTATTGAGGCACCTGTTCTGGATTATATACCAAATCTTCCATTTGAAATCTTCCCTAAGAAAGACAGGGGGAAAACTCTTTTAGCATGTACCCCAACCATATTAACCACATGGACTTAAATGATTTTCAAATAAATTTCTCTCAAATCTTCACTGCCTAAGAATGACATGTAGATATTTTACTAGAAGTCCAGCCAAGGATATTTGAGAAATCCATAATCGTTATGTGCAACAACATTTTAGCATGTAGGGGAATGAAAAAAGGGCTGAATTTTAGTTGTCAAGTAATGGAAAATTGTGGATGATATACTTAAAAAACATTTTATTTATTTATTTATTTATTTATTTATTTATTTATTTAAGAGAGAGGGGAAGGGAGGGAGAAAGAGAGGGAGAGAAATATTGATATGAGAGAGAAACATCAGTTGGTTGCCTCTCATACACACCCCAACCAGGGACTGAACCTGCAACCCAGGCGTGTGCTCTGACTGGGAATCGAGCTGGCAACCTGTCACTTTGCAGGACAATGCCCAACTGACTGAGCCACACCAGCCAGGGCACTGAAGATATACTTTTACAGAGTGATGTTTCCTGGGTAGATAAGCATGACTAAGGTTATAGAGCAGTTAAAGAATATATCTCAGGGACAAGAAAACTAGGTTTAAAGGATAAGAGGATTGAAAATAATTATTTCTAAGTAGAGTGATCAGGTGATGCCTAAAGAAATAATTATCCACAAGGCAAATAGCATGTGTTTGCTTAAGTAGTGTAGCTGAATAGTTGCATTAATGGCTTCAATTTTTCGTCTCTCCCTGCATCAACATCCTTTACCACATAATCTTTTAGTACCCTTTCAGTCCGCCTGTGGGCCTGCCATATGACTTGTTGGAAATAGTATGTTAGCACATGTCAGAGAAGGAGAGGCTTGGAAAAGCTCTTGCATGCCCACTTTTGCTTTGCAATTCATCGTTGCCATGAGAACACACTTGAATGGCTTGCTGGAGCATGAGACAGGTGGAGTGCCAGCCTACAACCCACCAGTCCACAAGCATGTAAGGAAGTCCACCAAGATAAGCCAAGCTGCCCGTCTGACTGTCCTGGATGCACCAAGAATACATGTTTTTGGTTGCACAATACTAAAGTTTTGTAGTTGTTTATTAAGCAGCCTTGTGTGACAGTTGATAACTGATACAAGTAGCCTTCCTTATAAGTATCCAAAGCCTAAGGTTTTCTTCTTTGCCATTTTTATGCATAATGGGGGGAGGGGTAAGAGGACAACAGGAAGAAGACAACTCTAGACCAAGATAGAATAAGTGATAAGATGAATTAGTATAAAGAGCAATTTTGATCTGAAAGGTCATTTATTTTATTGATTTTAAAAGTAAAAAGGATCTAAGAAAAAGATTTTGCCAACTGGGCTGCAGATGGTAAATGAGGGAGATGGAATTACAAATGGAGGTGGGAGGGGGAGAAAAGAAACAGAAACATCTTGAAATTTTCCTCCAGAGCTGTCTCTGCTGGTCCTCCCCTGTGCTTACCTCCAGAGAAATGCCTGTCCCATTCCAATTAACCGTGTCCAGCGTGAAGTAAGCGAGGCCATCGTGGTCAGTAATTAGGGTATGGTTGATGGTTGCATTTATGCCAAAAATCATCAGAAACACTCTATGATTCTTGAGGAGGGAGCCGTCATGGCCCCTAACTCTTATCTGAGGGGTGAAGGTCATTACAGTTAGATTTGGAGTAGGTTTGAATATGAAGTAAAGTGATGTGATAACAGAAACTCTAGAATACATTTCAGAAAAGAGTCCAGAAAGAGGTAAATGCATTCAAGGGTTGGAAACTAGGATGTCTGAGGACCTGAAAAACAAACAGCAGTAGCTTAGCCTGGAGTAGAAGTACAGTAGCCATGTTGCTCATGAAGCTTTAGGGCCTTTCATTTGCACAGGCTCTTCCTAAGGCTCTGTACAGTATTTTCCTTTCATTTTCTTAAAGAGGATCCTCTTCCACTCCCAAATTGTATAATCATTAGGCTCTAAGAAAATATGGATCTACTCTCAGTCTAGAGAAAAGATGACTAAGGCGTAAATGGATCTAAATATGTACATTATTGTATTAGCCAGATGTCTGAGACATGAAGAAAGATAAGCTGGAGAGCAGGGTAGATATTAAGTAGTAGAAAGGAGATATTAACACAGGAAATTTTTTTTAATATGTCTCTTTTTTTTTAAGATTTTATTTATTTATTTTTAGAGAGGGAAGGGAGGGAGAAAGAGAGAGAGAGAGAAACATCAATGCGTGGTTGGTTGCTGGGGGTCATGGCCTGCAACCCAGGCATGTACCCTGACTGGGAATCGAACCTGCGACACTAGGAAATTTTAAACTCTCTAAAAAGTGTGTAAGGATCTATAAATGGCTCTCTGTCCAGGAAAGTTTGATGTTAACCCTGCCTAGAGGCAGGATCACAGACTAAATGATTTCTCCAAATACCTTGCAGCTCTAAAATTCAAAGATTTGAACATTAGGACGTGAGCCCTTGGCACTAGGAAGGGCACCAAAGTAACATTAATATCCAAGGTACAGCTCATGTGGTATTAAGGGCAGCACAAGGTAGGGAGTTAAGAGTGTACATTCTGGATGCAGGCTGCCTGGTTTTTATCATAGTTTCCACTTACTAACTACAGAATCTTGGGAAAGATCACTTAACCTCTCTTGCCTCTGTCTCCTCATCTGTAAAATGGGGCCAATAATAGTGTCTACTTCACAGGATTATTGTAAAGATTAAATAAGTGAGTACCCATAGAGTACTTAGAACAATGCTGTTAGTTTTATTTTTATATGTCAACAGGAAGGAAGCAACAGTTAAGATTAGTTTTTGCCTCTGCAGAGACAAGCTTCAACATACCTTCCCGGTGAAGGGGAAATTGGGGTAATAATAATCACTGGTGTCTTCAAAGGTCATTGATCCTATTTGTGAAGAAATGTAGATATCCTGAGTGCTATTGGCCTCCACGCCTGTAGAGGGAAAACAGATGTACATTAATCTAAATGCCTGAAATCCTCATCTTTGTGTTTAATATAAAACCTCTGAAAGGATGGTGCCTCTGGACGTATAAAGCTGCATATATTTCTAGCCAAAGATCCAAACCAAGTCCTCCTCCCCAAACCTTTGGGGTGGATGGCAGATGGGAATCTGGCACTTTCCTTTGTGAACTAGGAAGTCACTCCCAAACCCAAACGAAGATAGGTCTGGAATCCTCTGAGTGGGTGTTTCCCTGCAACAGCCCCTTTCCTTTCTTTTTTCTTAATGAACCAAGCAGTACACCACTTACCGGTCCCTTCCTCCACCACAGCAGCCACAATATTGATGCTGTGGCTGTACAGATAACCAGTGAGGTTGAAGGTGGACATGTTCACAGAAGCTGAGAAGCATCCGGCTTTGTCCGTCTAGTGAGTCAGAGAGAGGGAGAAGATGAATAATGTAATCACTACTTCCATTTCCTAATGTGCTGTGGAAAGAAGTAATTTCTCTTCTTCATACTTTATTTTCTCCATCTTTAAGACAGAAAAACTCTCTTATGACACAGAGTATACACTCACACATGTAGAGTATACACCTGTACATATATAATCATGAACAAACTTGAAGCTCCAAAATAGGACAAGAGGAAAAGAACCAATTGTAGAACAGGAGAATTCTATCTCCCAGGGGTTGAAGTTCATTTCTTGATTACAAGGTAGATTCTAAAAGACTTTGTCTGTTTAGGATAAAGAAGACTGTTTTGTTCTTTGGAACTGGGATAATAATCATATGAAATGTTTTCCACTCTGGGCTTTTTACTACGTTTTTACGTTTAGGCTTACTAACTCTGTAGGACATGTGGGTAAGGTTCCTTACTCACCTGTCCAGAGAGGTTCCTGCATCTGTCAGGTAGCTGTTCTGGTTCTGCCTCTCCAAAGTGGTAAGTATATGCCTTTTGACACACTGATACCTGTACCGCCCCTACCATGGGCTTTCCATAGGTGTACCTAACCCAGAAGAGCATAAGGAGTCAGATTTGGGAAATTCCACTTGAGATCCGACCCTTATGTCCCCACACACCGCTTTTCCTTCTTTGCCCCACTCCACCTTTGGCAAGTACTCTGACAGTCCTACCCTTCTCCAGCTCTCACTCACTTCCCTGCTAACTCAAAGCCTTAGAGTATTGCCATTACACAATAAGTACCATCCAAAGGATGGAATAGCGTCTTTTTTCTTACTCCTATTTCTCCATGAGATTCAATATTCCATTCAGCCCAAAGTAGCCTGAAAATCAATAATGCTGACTGACTGAGCAGTGGGAAATAAGAGTGGAAACACAATTAGGAAATGTGTTCTTGGAGAATTCACGACCCTGGACTACATAAAATATGCCAGGTTTTAACCACCACCTCCATCTCTCCATAAGACTCCCTCAACATACTTCTCAATATAGCTTTAATCTCCATCAGCTCCAGAGCTTGTTCTTACCTACAAGAAATTTTTACCCTGAAAGATTCCTCTGCTGTTGATAACTGCTTGGGTTCCACCACTTCCACCTTGAACTTAGGCAGCACTGGAGAGAGTACCAAAAAAAATGGAAAAGGAATAAAATAACTTGACCATATAAGTAGTGAACAGTGGGGATAAAAATGGTGACCATTTAATTAATTAATCAATTAATAAAAGGGGGCTTTATCAGCTGGTTTACCACTGATTCAAAAATGACTAAATACCCCTCCCAATAGTAGATTTTACTTTACCTTTGCTGATTTTGTGACCAGACTATACCCAACACTTCAACCTCGTTATTCTCCCACCTACCATATTCTTCCACACTGAAGGTGCCAAAGGTCTTGCCCTCAGCCACTGCCACTGTGTAGGTGCCCAGCATTGCCTGTAGCGCCAGTTGGAAGGATAGCTCCACGATGCCTTGTTCGGGTACCACTTCCAGCCACTGTGCAATCCTGTTGCTATTTGGGTCCTATACCATTAAAAAAGAAATCTCATGATGTGCCTGCCTGTCTGATCCCCACTTTGCACTGCAAAGAGCACATAAAGAATTCTCGCTATGGTCTGTGCCAAGGAAGAACAGTGTCCTAGGTTATTCATAATTTTCTTCATTACTGACGAGACAAATTCACCTAGAGGGTCAGCCCCCCATTTGGAAAGAAAAGGGCACTTGTGGTTTCAAGTGATCAGACTGAGTCCTGAGGTGTTATGACCAGGTGGTATTTAGGATGTCATTTACAAAGAATGTTTTCTCTATTTTTTGGTCTCTATTAAGGAACAACACTGAAGGGATTGATTGTAAGATTCCTGAGATATAGGTAATTAACAGAAAAATGGAGGGGATGCTGTGCAGAATTCGCAATTCCGGGCCCTTTGTTTCTTAACACTCTCACAGGCATTCATGTCATATTCAACAGTTGAGGGTCTACGACAAGAGCTTATTACTGAAAACTAACAGGAGCACAGAACCAGGTGAACTGGCATGGCACAGAGAAGTTACAGGAATTAGAGTGGGAGGGTTAGTCGCAGCAGAGGTGGGTGACTTTCCTTACAGGGGTTTGGGGCTGAGAGGGTGGGGCCGGCAGAGGAAAGAGAGTAGACACAATGTGGGTGGAACTGTGGGCACTCAGTGCTGGGCAGAGTCTCAGGCTCTGGGCCAAGATCTCAGAGTTCTTCCTGCTTTCCTAGTTTAGCACCAAACCTTCATTCCTCTTTCTCCACAACTGGCAGGAAAAAAAAAAAAGAAAGAAATTTCTACTTACTTGCAGTTCCACCACAGAATACTGAAAAAGAAAACCAGATAATGTACCATTAAACCAGGGTAAGCAATAAGGATATAGGCCTGTTGAAAGCAAGAAGTTCACAAAGGCCTCTTTCTTTCTCATTGCCCACTCCTTCCTTCCTTTCTTTTTTTTTAGTTTTTAAAATTTATTTTTATTTTTTAATTTTAATTGTTATTCAAGTACAGTTTTCTGCCCTTTACTCCCATCCCAGCCCACCCCCCCAGCCCTCCCCACCTCCCTCGCATTCCCACTCCCCCTAGGTTTTGTCCCTGTGTCCTTTATCCTTGTTCCTGCAAACCCTTCCCCTGTTCCTCTGAAATTCCCTCCCCCTCTGATCACTGTCAGCCTGTTCTCTATTTCAGTATCTGGTTATATTTTGCTTGTTTGTTTGTTTTGTTGTTTAGGTTCCTGTTAAAGGTGAGATCAACGGCTCCTTTGTGCTCTGATAGGGGTCACAATGGGGTAAAGGCTTATTGAGTGGGGGAAGAGAGAGAAAAGTTTTCCTCAAATGGGTTGCCAGACTCCAAAGTATTTGAAGAAACAGAACTTCAGACACTTCAGCATACCTTGGTGCTCTGTGACAGCTCTTCCAGAAAGTTGGGGCGACAGAGGGTTCACCTTGTTTAAACCTCTTCTCGAAGCCAGTTATTTCCCAGCCCCTCCTCTGCTATTTGAATGCCATGGTGGGAACCTTATTTTTAAGCACTGCAAACCAATATCTAAAAAATTTTGTTTAAAAGAGTTCCAGCCTGGCTGGTGTGGCTCAGTGGATTGAGTGCCGGCCTGCAATCCAAAAGATCACTGGTTTGGTTCCCAGTCAGGGCACATGCCTGGGTTGTGGGCCAGCTCCCCAGCTGTGGGCATGCGAGAGGCAACCAATTGATGTATCTCTCACACATCGATGTTTCTCTCTTTCTCTTTCTCCCTTCCTTCCCCTCTCTCTAAAACTAAATAAATAAAATCTTTGAAATAAATAAAGAAAAGAGTTCTAACAAAAGGATCATGTATAGTTTCCTTAAGAAAATGGATGCTAAAACCATTAAGTTGGTGGGGAACTAGTCATTGTGCTAGGTGTGGGTATCACTCAAAATAACTTGCCAGTTTCAGAGGAAAAGATATAACTTTGCATCAGAGAAGTTAAGCTGCCTTAACCTGTAATCAAACTCATCCTTCCTCATAGTGGGAAACCGGACATTCTGTGCTTCTTTCCTAAAGAGATACATTTGAGGTTCACAGCGTGACCTAATAAGTATTTTTGCCAAAAATGTTTAGCTTAAATCTAGTTAAGACCTTACACCTACTTCAAGAAGATAGAGGAATAAATTGGATTACACAATAAGGAAATAATCAGACAAATTAAGACTGTCAAATATTCTGTAAGACAAGTAAGCTTCCTTATTAGTAGTCCCCATCCTCTTTGGCACCAGGGACCGGTTTTATGGAAGACAATTTTTCTTGGACGGGGGTGGGAGGGATGGTTTTGGGATGATTCAAGTGCATTACATTCAAGCTCACCTCCTGCTGTGCGGCCCAGCTCCTTAAACCGTTAATGGACTGGGGACCCCTGCTTAAAGTCAGTGTCATATTTCAGAATGAGGACATTTTAAAAGCCATCTAGCCTGATCGCTCAGGAAAAAAAGTCAACATAATAAAAATATAAAGGGGATTATTTTATATTAAGAAAAATTTTAAACATAATTAATTATAAAGCATAGATTTATTTTTTGGTCTCCTAGTTTGAAAATTTGGAGAAAACTGATTTAGGACTGCATAGTAAATGGTATTAAATAATTATTATTAATTTTCTGAAGTGTCATAATAATATTATGATTATTTAAGACATTCTTTTTAGAAGACATATGCTGAAGTGTTTAGAAGTAACATGTTATGATGTCTACAACTTACTTTTAAATGAGCAAAAAGTAATAAATTAAAACAAATGTAGCAAAATGATAACAAATGTTGAATCTTGGTGTTATGTTTGAAAATTCTAATAATTAAAAGTTAAAAACAAAAATGACTGCTCAAGATAATTTTCCTATGAGAAAATTACTTCTTACTGTGTTGTCTCTGTACATGTAGGATGTTTTGATTTTTTAAAATTATAATCGTTAAATTTTACAAAATCATGGCCATGGAAATAGATAATTGCAATGTCTTGGATGTGACTATAATTAAATGTCTGATTAGAGACTGTACATTTATTGGATTCAGTGCTTTCCAGCTAGTATTACATACTCATAAAAGGACTTGCAACTCCATGAGGCTGAAAGCTGGAATTTAGATATGGGGTCTTACAGAGAGTACAGTTTGGGTCTCACTGGGAAGGGAGATGGAATGGACTCTAGTGGGCGCTTTCCTTTGATTCTTAGGCCACAAACCATGTGACGCCGACCAGGGAAGAAGCAGAGCATCACTACACACAAACATCAGCCATGATACCAGGGGTAATGACGATTCCTTAGGAAAGCCAAAAAATGAGAGATAAAGATTGTAGGAATGGAAACATTTTCTGTTTTTCCCTTCTAGGTTCTTTGGCTAGTCTAATAAGTAAATTGACCTAAGACAGGTTGACAGGAAAAAAATTAATTATGTACATAGGAGCACCACAAAAACAAGACTCAAAAGGAGTAAGGCAATTGAGATTTATATGCTATCTGGGGCTAAGGAATGGCGCAGGGGTCTGGGGCTCCAAAGGGGAGGAGGCCAATTCACAGGAAGGTAAGAAGAGCAGATGTTCGGTAATCAGATGTTTGCCCTGCCACGCAAGTAGGTCTTTCAGATTAAGAAAAGAAAAGTTATTTCTGATAACAGCTTTTTCTGGCACAAGCTGTCTACCTAAATTCTTTTAGCCAGTTAAGGGAGTAGTAAAAGTTTTTCTTGAGTCTGCAGAGTCTTAACTGCATTCAGTTCAAAATAATCTACAATGCAAAGCTGCACATTTTGGGGTGGGCTATTCCCCAAGAAAGGACAGGACTTCCACAAACCAGAGCTATATAGATGATAAGAAGGCAAATATTGCCCTGGCTGGTGAGGCTCAGTGGATTGAACACCAGCTTGCGCACCAAGGGGTCACTGGTTCAATTCTCAGTCAGGGCACATGCCTGGGTTGCGGGCCGAGGGCCCTTGAGGGGCAACCACAATTGATGTTTCTCTCCTTCTCTTTCTTCTTCCCTTCCCCTCTGTCTAAAGTAAGTAAATAAAATCTTAAAAAAAAAAAAAAAGAAGAAGAAGAAGAAGAAGCCAAATGTCACTGAGGTTATTATGGAATTCTATAATTTCCCAAAAAAGAACACTTCCTCAGATAACAAAGTATTTTTCTTACATAAGGACCCAAGAAGCAGGATGATGCCAGTTACCCAGAAGTAGGCTCTGAAAGGAAACAAATGTTCAACTAGGAAGATAGTATTTCCAGCTGGAAGCTGCCTGAAGTTTCTGGATGAAAGGGTGTAACAACCAAGCTAGACAGGGCCAGTTAATCTCGAGTATACTTTAGTTGCTCAAGGATAACACACTGTGCTCTGCATACCCATAATTTTTGTCTCTCAGTTTCTTAGTGAAATTCCTTTTGTTAATTTCAGTGTTCCAAATTTTCAATGTTTCAAACCGGAACTTGGGGCTGGAGGGCTGGCTGAGGAAATGGAGTGGAGAAGAAGGAGCAATTTCCATCAGAAACAGAGCATAACAATGGAAATCAGAACACAGGTGAGTAATACAGCATCAAGTGGGCAGAGGAAAGATAAGGTAATGGGTCATTAATGAGATCGACCTCAAAGGCGCAGCAGAGTCTGAGAGTCATCTCAGTGTTGGCTCAAGTGTTGGCTGTGGCCACACTTTCACCTTAGCATTTCCTCTTTTTAGCTCTGGGATCAACAGTCTGTTAAATAATTATTATGCCATATTATACTAAACTTTTGATAAAGAAAGGATACAGATGACAGGAAGGAGAAACTAAAAAGAATTCCAAACTGGGAAAGAAAGCAGTGGTGGAGGAGGCCACTGATCAATAAGCCCATAGCCTCTCTGTATGTGGGGAAAAGAAACAGAAGCTCTGAGAACACGGAGACAGAAATAAAAACAATGCCTTCCCCATAATGGTCTTTAAAAGATTCTCTTGAGAGCCCTGGCTGGCGTAGCTCAGTGGATTGAGCGCAGGCTGTGAACCAAAGTGTCGCAGGTTTGATTTCCAGTCAGGGTACATGCCTGGGTAACATGCCATGGTTACATGCCATGGCCCCCAGCAACCGCACATTGATGTCTCTCTCTCTCTTTCTCTCTCTTTCTCCCTCCATTCCCTCTCTAAAAATAAAAAAAAATTCTCTTGAATAGATGGGCCGTGGCTGAAGGAGAAAGAAGGCAGCAGGAGTGTGTGAGAGCTAGGTATTTCATACACGTGCAGAAATGACGTGAGCCCTGAATGGAGATCAGCCCTCTCTCTCATAAGGCTTATAATTCTAGGGATGGAGTAGTTCAAGGAAAATTTAAGTATTCATCCAATGTTACCACATTTTTACTTCTGGTACTTTTAAAATGTTGTCTTAAGAGAACTGTCTACTTTATAAATTGGTTGGTATTTTTCAATGTTGCCTTAAGAGAACTGTCTATTTTATAAATTACCTTGCCTCATAGTAAAAAAAAAAAGAAGATGAGGAGGGTGGATATTCCTTCTCTTCCTTTGGTTAAACTCACTCATGAACTGCTTCTTAGTATTTGAACAGCCAAGTGTCTGCATCATTCCTGGAAAGTCTCAAAATTTTCAGAAACTCTTTTATAACAACAGGGAGGGTAACCATCTCTCAAGAATGCTGACCTCACTGTCATTCTCAGCTGTCGGACCCGAGACTAGACCTATCTGCTTGTTTACAGGCAGGCAGGGGCTGTGAGGACTTAGACTTGTATCTCAATTCCCCACCTGCATTCTGCACCTCAGAGGGCCTCACCTCCTCACACCCTTGGAAAGAATGTCTCCTTTCCCCTGATCTCTCTGAGTCTGCCCTGCTCCTTTCTCCTTCTGTCTTCCCAAGTAAATTCTCACCTTGTCATTCATTGGAACAAAGTTGCTGTTCAGGGTGACAATTCGGAAGTGCACTAGAAGGAAACAGGCTTCATTAGCAAAAGGGATATTTCCTTTCTCAGAACCTTTCTTTCTTCCACCCTTCTACTGCCTCACACACACTTCTGAGTCAGCAAAACCTCATCAGGTTCTACTTAAAAAATAATAATAATAATAACAACACCTAGTCACAAGAAAGATAAAGCCCTCAAGCGATTTCTATTCACGGCTGTTGACTCTGAAACCTCAGAATGAACCGCCCCTCTAAGTAGGAAGGAACAAACAACAGGAGCTCCAGCCAAATGTGTGTTTGCATACATCATATCCAAGCAGCTTGCTGGAGGACCAAGCAACCCAGTGACACTTGCCAAACTTCATTCCAGAAGAAACGTGTACTTATGTGTTAGAAACATGCACACAGTAGCAACTCCACCCATTAGTCTTTGGCTTGTGGAACGTGGCATCCACTCACCATGTCTTCCCCCCAGCTCTTCCTCTCTTCTGCATTCATTGTTCCATAGGCTGACCACCAACCACAAAGCCCCTGCTTGCAAATACCTGTCACTCTTTCCCCGTCTTTTGTCTAATCCCGTAAGTGTGCCTCTTACCTCGCTGCCCTGGGTTGTAGATAGGTTTGTCAGTTTGTACAAAGATGCCATTCCTCTGCCTCTGAATTAGAACCGATTTTTTTTCCTCAAAGCTGACGTTATTTCCAGTTCCCGACACCTGAATTGTAGCCACTTCTTCTGTGCCACCTGCAGGTGGTGGTACCTGGCCAAGAGAAAGTGCTCTGGGGAGGAGCAGGAGACCGGGGAACAGGGTCTACTGGTCTCAACCCCAGAGTGGGAGGGCGGAAGGAAAGAACTGAGTTATACAAGTTGCCAGGAAGATGGCAAACAATAATCAGGAGGTAAGGTCAGGAACTAAAAGAAGAAACTTAAGGTCAGGGAAATTATGGATGAGTTATGGCCAGGAATTGAAGAGAGGCTTGGGGGAGATAAGTCTAAGTAAGTAAGTAAAATGTGAAAGGCAAAAGTAAGATGACAGAAAGCATAATTAAAATTAGATCATGGTGAGTATCTAGGGAGGGGACTAGAAAAGTAAGGAATTAGAGATGGGGTTAAGTCTTTGCTTACCAAAAAAGACATGCAATGTAAGTGCCTCTTCCTCAACCCATGGTGTTCTAGCAACTTCTGGGTCTTGTCCTTGGTCTCCAGAGTAATAGTGAATTTTACATCATAGTACCCAGGGCTCAAATCCAAACAAACCTTCTGAGTAGAGGGAAAATTCAACTGGGCTGGCAATGTCACCAGGTAGTTCCTAGTAATGGAGGAAAAGGACTTCAGGGCAGTCATGATTCTTCCATTCAATGGAGAATTAAGCCCTCTCATAAACACTTAGCATGTCACAGTGATTTAAACAGTCTGCATCCCTGCCTTTATGAACATTATTTTCTATGAGGAAGAACAAGACAAGTAACAAATAACTCAGTGCACAGCCTTAAACCTCCCACAACCGGGAAACCATCAATAAGAACCTATGTCTAGGGTACTAAGGAGGAAATTAGTCCTATTACAGAGAACAGAGTACAGGGAGTCTGCTATATTTTAATATTATCTTTTTTTAAAAGCTTCCTCTTGGGCCTCAACTTTTCTTTCTTGGGTAAAGGAGAAATGCAACCAAAGAACAGAAAAGATGAGAAAGAAATTAAAATAAACCAAAGGTTATTCCGTCTCCCCTAGATTTACATTTGAGAAAGGTAGACAGATATCAAACACTTACGGAAGGAGTTTTTCTGCAATAGCTGGGGATAGAGCCAATATTCCTAGAAGGAGCTGAGCCCACATCTTTGTGGGTAACACAGACTCCTAAGAATCAGATCTGCTCCCTGCTGGAGCATATATATTAAGTCCCAAGACAGGGTGTGGAGCTACCACTGAAGCTCCCGCCAATCACCTACAAGGGGCCTCAGGCTAGGGTGGTGGACAAGGGTACAGCTATGGTTCACCTCCTTAAATTATCTTCTCCCGGAAACATTCATACTGGCTCAGCCAGTCCAGAATACCTATTTCGGGGAAAACCCAGGACTCAGTATTCAGTGGTGCCATTCACAGAACAAATTTTTGGACTCCACCCTTTTTTTCTGGTTTCATTCCAAATTCTCTTACCCATTTGATCATTTCACCTCTTTTTATTATTCTATTAAGACATAGTTGGGATCACAGGTATGGGAGCAGTATCGATAGAAAAACAGAGTACTTCTGTCTAATTGGGAATTTTTTAATTAACACTACTCAGTGCTGTGACTGTGGAAGTAGGGACATGTCACTCCTTGAGAACCAAAATGGACAACCTCTCTGAAGGTAATTTCACAATGCACATCAAAAGCTTTTCAGATTTCCCTGTCCGTTGACTCAGCAACTGCTATGGAAATGTTTCTGAAAGGAGAAAGAGAGCATGCACATATGCACACTGAGTTTTTTTTAACTTTTTGTCTATTGTTGTTCAAGTACAGTTTTCTGCCTCCCCCCCTCCCCACCACACTGAGTTTCTTTGTAGTGCTGGTTATAATGGCAAGACTTGAAAGCCCCCTAGAATATAAATTAGTGAGAATACTTTCTTGACCAACGACCAACCCAAATAAAACCAACATAAACAAAAAAGCGTTTTTGGCAATTGGGGTGGATAGGATATGAAGAAACAAAGGAAGGAAACTGAGAAATTCCAAAGACTCTATGGCCCGAAATCAGAGACTTGATGCTGCCAAAAAGAAGCTAGGAAAACTCCTTGACAAGCGGAATGGGGAAAGGGAGACACGTAGTTAAAGGGCCGCGCAATTGTAAATTGTCAGATAATAAAACCACAAGATCTTATCTTCCGTAACCACGAACACTCAGGAGCAAGTGGTTCATACACTCCAGACCTTGCCAGAAGAGGACCCATCTTGCCTGGGCAGGTCTGCCTAGGGCCAGCCTGCAGCGTGTGGCTTCAGCAGAAGAGATTTCACAATACGAGTTCAGGAAATTTTGGCAGACATTTATTACAGCTGGGCAACAGTGAAACAAAGAAGAAATTAGGATAGAACAAGCAATAGGAGAGAGGCTAGGCAGGGCTACTTTGGCTCTCTAGAAATATTCTGAGAAAGTAGTGAGACAAGGTGGGGCTGCTGTCAGCTCACAGGAGAGTTAGAGAGAAGTGGGATTTGGGGACAGGTTCAGGGGCTTAGCTCAGGACGAGCTGCCACTGCTCATTGCTGTCCTAGTTGCAAGTGTTGTAACAGGGTGCAGCCAAGGCGGGACCCCCAAATGGGGATTTGTAATAGGGTCCAGAACTCAGGATGTCCAGGAAATATTATGGAAAAAATATATATATGATGTCCTCACCCCCACCAGTCTGAGGGGACACTGGGGGATGGGACACATGGAGCAGGGACATTGAGAGCTGTTTTGCATAGCAACAGTTTTGCAGCTAACCTCTGGCATGGTCATTTAACATATCTATAACCTTTAACTGGTTTCATACATATGTTAAATAGCTGTGGCAATGCTTTGAGCATCGGGAATGGGAGTGACTTCAACTCAGGTCGTACCTGGGAAGCAACTCCCCCCCCGTTACAGCTCCTGTGTGAGAGCTTGGAGATGATTGGCTCCACGCCATGGGGCCACGGCTGCCCAGAATTACTATGGCAGCCCAGTAAAGCTGGACGAATACGGGAATGCTGGCAGGTGTAACTGATTGTGAAAGGAGTCAGAAATAGGGCTGCAGAGGAAGATCCACACAAGGATTTAAACCCAGGTGTGGCCACAATACCAGGTCAGGGCCACATGGCTTTGGAGGAGTTAGGACCATGCGGCTGTGGCAAATAGAGACCACATGGCTTGGGCGAGAGTTAGGACCACAAAGCTCTGGGGTGGTGCTACCTTTTGCCACGTGGCTTGGGCAGCAAGAGAGACTTTGCCTGGATAAAAAGGGGTGAAAGGACTCTTGCTGGGGGGTCATGAGAAGGTGCCACATGGCTTTGGATTAACTGGAGATCACGGCAGGGACACTGCAGATGATGCCGGAATCAAGGGGCTGCCTGAACCACGGACTTCTACTTCTTTTCCTGAGACACGGTACCCCAAACTGGGCAAAGGGGAGAAGGAAGGACTGTGTGTGTTTGTGGGTATTCTAAAGAACTTTAGTATTTTAATGAGGACGTTAGGTCATTACTCTAAGTCTGTATAACTTTTAAATAAATAATTCCTCACCTTTTCACCAGTCTCTGGCATTGAGAAATGTCTTTCCTCTGGCAGTGGGCAAAGTGAACCTAGTACCGGCGGCAGGGGGAACCCCAGGAGAAAAAGGGGGGGTCCTTTCAGTAATAGCATATCGTTCACCACCACCACAACCCCTGCCCAGTCTGTTCTGTAACAGTGTCATGTGGTTCCTTAGGAGTGAGGAGATTTTGCCTGTGGGGGAAGAAGAGGAGGAAGGGAAAGGTGTGGGCGTGCTCACCGGAGGGAAGGCACGTACCGGGTAACCCACCTGGTTTTGCTGATTTTCTGGGCCTGGAGCTGAAATACAACTGAGGCCTCGATGTTATCTCTAGGGATAAAATGTCAAGGGGTCTAAATGATATGACCAGCGATATGCCAGGGAAGGAAAGGTCACCCCATGGGGAGCCCCAGTGCCAGTTTCGCCCCTTGCTAGGGACCCGAGGTTTCCTGCCCTGGTGACCTTCTGTATATGTCTGCAAATTGCTCGGATAATTTGTTCAGCTATCTGTCTCTGTAACTATTCTATTTGCCAATGAATTTTCCTAGCTTCTTACTATCCTACCTCTCTACTGCACACAGGAGTTCCTTCAAGTTGTGGGGAAGATGGCAGCCGTGAGTCCTCAATCCATATTCTTCCAGCTTTATGATCCCAGTAGACAAAATTTTTTACCTATGCTACAGACATTTCTGAAGACAGATTTTGTTCCTCCTCTCACATGCTCACCTCTGAATCAATCACTGGACTCAGAATACTATGAGACGGAGGCCCTGGGTTGTCCTTATCTGAGGCTAGGGTGGTAGGGTGCTGTGACTGACAACTCCAGAGAGCCACGTGAAGTCGGGGGGTCCTCTAGAGAAAGGAATCCACTACTACAGGAAATGGTTGGCGTAAAGATGTTGGGAAAATGGAACATTAAGTCCAATGATTTTGTCCATTTGTCTAATCAAATGTCCAATAATTGAATTTTGTTGAATAATTTGCCACATTAATATAAAGCAATAACATGCAGCTATTAGAAATAATGTTTTCATGACAAGGTGGATTGTTTGCAATCCTGAGTGGCTGGGGGAGGGGGAGGGGGAATATGACACAAAATATGTATGAAGTCCACTTCCACTTAGGGTGTTGGAAACTTGAAAGAGCACTCTTTCCCCCCTGACAATGAGGAAAAGCCAGATAAACTGCAAAATCACAACTCACTTTGAACCAAAATGTTGAATCTAAAAGCTCAGCTGACATTGCAGGTCAAACAAGTAGCTTGCAATCCAAGAAGGCACAGTTCCTGCAGAGCAGAGACTGGACATGTGGACGGCTCATCTCCACCAGAGCCTGGGAGGTCTATGGGTCATTACGGAAGCAAGTAAGAATAACGCAGCTACAGATTCCATGAATTACTAAAGGCCTAGTGTGAGGCCTTTAGCAAGGGAAGCTGGTACTTACTGACAAGCTCTTTTCCATGACCTTTACCAGATACACACAAGAAAGACTGGGTGCGGGATGAGTCTGAAAAAAGGCTTCCTCAGTAGTATAGGCACAGAGGACAGTATTATCTGTCACTGTAGGAAAAGCCATAAGAATAAGGAAGTCTTATTTGTGACAACATGGATGGAACTTGAAGGCATTATGCTGAGTGAAATAAGCCTGACAAAGACAAATACTGTGTGATCTCACTTATATGTACAACCTTTAAAATAAAAAAATCAGATTTGAGATTATCAGAGGTGACCAGTAGGAGAAAGAAGTAGAGAGAAATAGTCAAAAGATACAAACTTGCTGTTATAAAATAAATAGGTACCAGGGATATAATGTATAATGTGATGACTATAGTTAATATTGATGTATGATGTATGGGAAAGTTATTAAGAGAGTAAATCCTAAGAGTTCTCACAACAAAGAAAAAAATTCTTTTTTATTTTCTTCTTTCTCTTCTTTTAATTGTACCTTTATGAGATGATGGATGTCAGCTAAACCTATTTTGGTAATTGTTTCACAGTATATGTGAATCAAATCATCATGCTCTACACCTCATACTTACACAGTTGCGTATGCCAATTATTTCTTAATAAAACTGAAAAAGAATAGAACAGAGTATTGAAGACCTGCAGAAGAATATCAAATGGCTTAACAGACATGTTACTGGAATCCTAGAAGAAAAAGAGAACAAACAGAATAAGGGTTTGAAGACATAACAGATGAGAAGTTTCCAAAGATAATGAGAGACATCAAAAACAGATCCAAGAATCATAGAGAATTCTAAGTAAGATAAATAGCAAAATCACATCATATTCAAACTGCTGAAAATCAGAGATGAAGAGGAAGACTTAAAGACGGCCAGAAAAAAAAAAAGACACACTATATAGATATATAGAAAAGAACAAAGATAAGAATTATAACAAACTTCTCCAATGGTAGGCATAAAATAAGGGATTGACATCTTTAAAATAGTAAAAGAAAATAAAAGGAAATCGAGCATTCTGTACCCAACAAAAACATCTTTTAATAATGAAGGGGGAAAAGACTTTTTCAGCCACACAAAAGCTGAAAGAGCTTATTACTAGCAGATCTGTGCTTCCAACAATATTGAAGGGAGCT